GTACCTTTAGCTGCTTGTTCCAAACTAGGGTTGATTTTGAAGTCAGGTATGGGTTCAGGTCTTAGCTCAGTCTACCACTTGCAAGACTGGACTTTAATGAGCCCTGAACTTATTTGTTGTAATTACTGATGAGGACCTGGGATGTTTTGGTTTGCTAAAAACTACCATTGTGTGATTAAAAGGTTAAGTATTTTGAGGCACTTAAATTAGATTTCAAAATATGTTGAAGAATGATCTTAACCGCAGGTTTGTACTTTTTAGGTGGATGAGAATGGCAAAATCAGCCGCCTTCGCCGGGAGTGCCCTTCAGATGAGTGTGGCGCTGGAGTCTTTATGGCCAGCCACTTTGACAGGCATTACTGTGGCAAATGTTGTCTGACCTATTGCTTCAACAAACCAGAAGACAAGTAATGGTATATGGGTTAATAAAAGACATGAACTAACATTTAATTGTTGAAGTTTATTCCAGTGATTTTTTTTTTTAAGCATCAAATTGATGGATCAAATTGATAAACTATACTTTGGCAGATTTCCACTATATTTAATATCAGATGTCTAGATAATAAACCAGTTTGTGTTTCTGTCAGTTTTTTTTTACCTCAGCATTATGGACATTTTGGATCAGGTAATTTGTGGTAGGGGCTGCCCTGTGCATCCCAGGAAGATGAGCAGCATCTTGGACCTCTACCCCCATTTCCACAACCAAAAGTGTATCCGGGCACTGCCAAATGCCCCCTGGCTGAGGGAGAACTACCTGGGTGGTTTGGTTGGGATGTTTGCTGTCTGTAGTACAAGGGAATATACTACTGTTCAATGCTGAGTGTGAACTTGGGGAATTAAAACTAATGTTTGCTCGTTAGTCCTGTTGACACTGAAAAATACGGTTTCAAATAGTATTTGGTACCATATCTTGCCCATGGAGCTCAACTCAGAGAAGACTGCTTTTCTTGGTATCACTCGTAAAACATTCACTTAAAGCTTATTAACTCTTAATATTACATTCAATGATATGCCAATAATTCCCTCTTACTGTATTCTTACACCAGGATTTCTAGTTGGAGGCATCCTTAAATTTTTTAAGTTTTCTTATTTTGACAATTGTCTGGGCACTTACTGACCAGTAGTCGTGAATTCTTACCTTCAAATAAAGCAAAACTAGTTGCTCTATAGAAAATAAGACGTTTAATCTTTTACATTTTTAATATTTTAAAATCCTGGGTCCCATGACGTCTTGGCTGGAACTTCCTTTTCTTCAAAACAAACAATTTCATCTCCCACTTTAAATTCTATCTTTTCTTCATCCAAACTGAGACCACAATCCATTCCAGTTTTGATGACTGAAACGTCATCTTTATGGTGTTTCAGTGAGGTTAATGAGCCTTAAAAAAAAACAAAAAAACCCTTAAGGTTCATGTATTCAACAAATAAGTACTTCACCAAGTGCTATGTAGTCTGGTGTTAAAGAGAATTACATTGGAATTAGAAATTTTATAATCTTGTCATGTTGAATAATTGGACTAAATACCAGGGAAACCAAAGAAAAACGAAGTTGTAAACAAGATTTGTAGTGGAAAATACTAAATCTACCATTTTAAAGACAGGCTAACACTGCAGAGGATGGGACTGTACTCAGGACTTGGTTGAGATACATCAGGATAAAAGATAGTGCAGGCAAAAAGTGAAAGGATGGGAACAAGTATGATGTAGAGTGGAGGAGACATGACTAGAAAGATAGTCTTAGGAGTTTAGAAAATCAGACTAGGGGACTAACAATCTTGGAGGAATCCTCAGGACTAGTAAAAGGGAACCCAGCAACCTGAAACCAGTTATGAATAAGTAGTGACTTGAATGGGATTATAGGAGTGAAAGATGAACAGACTTCAGCCAGTTACAGAGAATTGTTAGGTTCTGGTGACTGGATATGACACAGAGACAGATTTTGATGTTGCTTACCCTTCCAAATAACATGCCCGTTACGGATTAACTTAAATTTTTTTTGTTTTTCCAATTGTCCCTTTTGGACTCTGCAGCCAGCCACAGGAACTTTTTTCTTCCCTTCTGTTATGGAGAAGGTAGCTAGTATAGAAGCCTCACCTTTAGGAAGAAGAGAACATTCAGTACAGAAAACAAAAGATTCTGAAAAATACATAATTCTGACATTTTGCAAGGTAGACAAACTCATGCACAGAAGTCCTGGTATTTTTTGACTCCACCAACTTTACTTTCCTGACCAATATTAAAAACCAGAAAGTTCTTGGGAAAGAAAATCACAAAAATACAAGTGCTTACCAAAAGAATGAATGAAAGACAAATGGAACTCACTGTTTTGGCTGCATAAAATGCACTAGAAGATGATTGTTGATGGATGATAAATTTATTTAGTACAGTTCCTGTCTGCTCCATGAAAATGTAGTTTTCAATTATCCCTCAATATAATTTCTAGTTTAGATCATCTGTTATTACCTGGCTTATTTTTAATCTTACCACTGGTAATTTATATCTGCATAAGTACTAAATCTGTGATTCAGCTTACTTTTTCACTAAATGAAAATTAAAACAAATTCAAATAATGACATGGTACCATACACTATAATGTACAAATTTCCTAGGGTCAGTGTTATTTGGTACTTGCTTACTACTAGAAACCCTCATGACTCAGTTTTACAAACTTTGCTCAAGAACATACAAGTCACTGTGTGATCAATGTTAAGCAGATCAGGGAAGCCTAAAATAAATCTGTACTGGAGGCCAAAAATACAAATACTGAATTTCATTGAGGAAATATCAGCCAGATCCAAATTAAAGCACACACAACCAAACCACTGGCCTCTACACTTCAAAAATGTCTCCCAGCCGGGCATGGCTCAGCAGCTGAGCATCGGCCTAGGATCCAGGAGATCGCAGTTCGATTCCCCGTCAGGGCACAGGCCCAGGTTGCAGGCTCCATCCCCAGTTGAGAGCGTGCAGGGGGCGGCTGATCAATGACGACTCTTTTCATTGACGTTTCTCTCTCTCCCTCTCCCTCTCCCTCTCTCTGAAATCAATAAAGATGTATTTTTTTTTTAAATGTCATGATCAAAAAGGACTGAAAAATTAAATGTAATCCATAATCCAGGACTGAGGGGAAAATATATACCTATAAAGTCTTTATTGGGACAATGGACAAAATTTGAATATGGACTTTGGTTTAGATAATAGCACTAATGTTAAATTTCCTGAGTTTGATATTTGTTCTATGATTTTATAAGAGAACATCCCTGTGCTTAGGAAATGCAAGTACTTAGTGGCAAACAGACACTATCTCAAATGTACTTTCAAGTGATACAGAAAAAAAAAATTGTGAAATTGTGTGTGTGGGGGGGGGGATAATAAAGCAAATGGGGCAAAATGTAAATAATTGGTGAATTGGGTAAAGGGTATATGGGAGAGTTCCCTATACTTTTCTTGTAATGTTTCTGGATATTTAAAACTATCAGCAAAATAAAAAGTTTTTAGAAAAATGTATATGGGGAGGAAAAAGAACACATAAAATGATTCAGTCATCATAAATTTAGCCTTTAATCTGGCCAAGGGATATGCTAGAAAGAATATTTTAAAAGATTTAATATTTAAATGTAATTTTTCTGCTCATGCTAGATTTCTCTACCAGCTCCAGGACAAAATCAATGGCTCCTTCATGACACATTAATAATCTTTATGCCTCCCACCTCAGTCTAATTTGTATCACAATTAGCTGTTCCTGTCTAAACGTGAGGGCAAGTTCTTAGAGCCTTACTTGCCTTGTATCCTCAAGCCTAAGGGTTGCAGAGAGCAAGTGTTTCTAATACATATGCAGTTACACTGAACTCATGTGTAGCAGTCATTTTTTCTAGAACGCAGGATATGTATTGGAACACTGAATGTACTTTAATAGTAAAATACATTTCCCCTAAATTTTGCTTTCAAGTGTCATTTACAGCACCTAAGATATGAATGTTTACAAGTAACAGTCACTGAACACTCACCTACTGTGTGCTCTTCCACAGTGGAGGGCAATCTGCTGCTCAGTTCCTCCTGCAAATCTTCAACAAGACGGTAAATTATTTTGTGAAGTTTAATTTTTACTCCTTTCTTTGCCGCTGACTGCTGGATAACATTGCCTGCATTCACATTGAAGCCATATATAACACCTGGCAATCAGAAATACAGTTAAGAAAGTAGCACAAATATTGCACTGAACAGTTTGTCTTTTGAACAGAAACTCAAATCTCAATTGTTTTACTTCCTTCCACATAAACTAAAAGCAAGTTGAGATGAGAAATTCTGTAATTTTTTTCTCATGAAAACTAGTAAATTTTCAAATTAATAAAAGGATTATATAAACTCTATTATGGCTTGTTTAATAAGGAAAATTTCTTTATGGTTTAAAAAATCCATCCATTCATTTAAGAAACATTATTTAAGTGCCCATAATGTGTGAGGCAGCATGCTAAACAAAGCTTTGATTTTTATACCAGGGATATAAGAAAGAAAAAAAATTAGGGCTGAAATAGTATTACATTATTTTAACAATTCTATTACAATCTTCTTGTCTACAACTTTTGTGGTTTACTCTTAGGCATTCAGCTGCTCAAAAATACTTAATTGGTGAAGTTCAAGAGTTATTTAAGAAATGACAGAAGTTCTATCTATGAAGCTGAGCATTTTGCCAAAGAACAAATAAAGTTACCTTAGGGGAAAAAACAAAACACTCTTAACTTAAACAAATGAAAGTTAATGCAAACAGCTTAATCAAGAGAACCACCACCACCTTGAAAGTCTTATCATTAAGAAATTATTCAATACACTATCTACATTACACAGTACAGTGCTAGCACTGCAATTTTCAACCTTTTTCATCTCATGGCACACATAAACTAATTACTAAAATTCTGCAGCACAGCAAAAAACATTTTTTGCCATTCTGAAAAAAAAATGGGTGTAATTTTGATTCATTCACAACAGATGACTATTGTGTTGGCCATTGTCATTTTTTGACAACCTAAGGGAAAGAGGTCAGGTATTGCATGTTTTAAAAATTCTTGCAGTACACCAGTTGAAAATTGCTGTGCTAGACCACTCAGTGCCCATAAAATACTTTGAGTTAACCAGCTTTACAGAAAATACCTTTTCACTAGTAGAGGTAGCATCTAATTCTAATCAAGTCAGGTCATTAAGTAGCTCCTTCCTAAATGATTCATTAATCACTCCAGTGTTGGTGCTTTGCTAAGTGACAGACCTAATTAAAGAGACAGTCGTAAGNGCAGTACACCAGTTGAAAATTGCTGTGCTAGACCACTCAGTGCCCATAAAATACTTTGAGTTAACCAGCTTTACAGAAAATACCTTTTCACTAGTAGAGGTAGCATCTCCCCTTTCTGTGTATCAAAAGTTTGACTAATAAACAGTTCTCTTGCCTTCTAGGCATTTAA